TTTAGTATGCTGCATCAAGGCCAACAACTGCCAAGTTTGGAAGAAATTGGTGCAGCGGTTACCAAGATATACACATGTAAGCATAAGTGGGCGTGGCTACGCCCATTTGCCAAAATTTTATATTATTCTTATTTTTCGTCTAAAACTCATTGCAAATATCAATTTTGAGTGAATTATCTTCAGTAGTTACTAAAATATCGCAGTTTTCGTTTTTCTGAAAATTACCGTTATATGGGAGGTAGGCGTGGTTATTGTCCGATTTTTAAAATTTTCAGCCATTTAATATGCTGTACTAAGGCCAACAACTGTGCCAAGTTTGGAAGAAATTGGTGCAGCGGTTACCAAGATATACACATGTAACCATAAGTGGGCGTGGCTACGCCCATTTTCCAAAAATTTATAATATTCATGTTTTCCGTCTGAAACTCATTGTAAGTATCAATTTTGAGTGAATTATCTTCAGTAGTTACTAAAATATCGCAGTTTTCGTATTTCTTAAAATTACCGTTATATGGGAGGTAGGCGTGGTTATTATCCGATTTCGCCCATTTTCAATACCATCCGTCCCACGCCCAAAAGAAGTTCACGTACTAAGTTTCGTTAAGATATCTCAATTTTTACTCGAGTTATCGTGTGCACAGACGGACGGACGGACGGACGGACGGACGGACGGACGGACGGACAGACAGTCACCGCTTAATCGATTTCTCTTTTCATTCTGATCATTTATGTATACATTTGTCTATATCTATCTCGATTCGTTTTGCCTGTTACAAACAACCGTTATGTGAACAAAGTTATAATACCCTTGTGCACAAGTGCGCTCGGGTATAAAAAGGACGTAAACGAGAGTGCGAGAAATTCGCGAAATCACAAAATTCGTAGACGAAAGTTGAAATTGTGCAGGGCGACAATGAGTGGGAAATATGTATCTACAATAAAGAAGACATAAAAAAGACACAAAAAGTAAGCAAAATAAATTTCCAAGGTCCAACGGTGGTACAAGGATGGAGCAATTCTGAGTTATGTGAGGCTATATTTTATGTATAAATGTTGAAATGGACATACCCGTACATACATATATATATATATGTACAGTACAGTTTGACACATAAGCATAGTATGTATGGAGTTAGACAATTTCGCGTCTAACGCCATAAACATAAACGCAAAAAAGTTAATATCAACAAACAAATGAGAGTATCCTTATATTTGCGCATGTCAAGATATTAGCTTTTCGAAAGATAGCGGGTGTCGTTTTTAAAAATCTCAATTGCATTCGACGGTCGTAAAAATTGGTTTTCCGCTAGTTGAAAACTGTGTATCTTCTTAACATCGATGTTTTTATGAGCGATTGTGCAACCCTGTTTCTCTCACACACTTGCGTGTACCATTCACCATAGGAAAATCTAGACCAAGATTTAACAAAATTTTCAATTAGGGTGACACGGAAACAATGAGAAACTTTGTATCTCGATAACTCAACAAATCTTAAAGACTTTAATGGACTTTAATATATTTCAGAAGCACTTAACACCGATAACTAGTGAAAATTCGATAACTCCATAAATTTAGATAACTGTGCGCTTCCAAAACTGGATAAATTTCGATAACAGAAAAATTTCCATATCTCGACATTTGTGTATCGATAACTCGATTTTGATAGCTTCATAAATTTCCATATCTATCGACAAATTTCTATATACTCTGGTAACTCGACAAAATTTGATGAACCGATAAATAATGGTAACTTGATAAATTCACGAGATTCAAGAAGTTACGATAACATACTTTGAAAATTCAATTCAAAAAAAAACTTCTCTTCCGTAAGCCGACAAATTTCGATAACTACTAATAAATTTCGATAAATCAATAAATAATGATGACTCGATAGTTTGAGATAACTCGATACACAAAGATACATCCCGATACCCTATATACTCTGAAAATTCAAAAAAATCGATTCCGTAAACCGACAAATTTCGATAACTACAAAAAAATAACGATAAATCAAGAAATATCGATAGCTCGATAGTTTGAAAGAACTCTATATATCACCCAAATTCGATAACTTTCGTTAACTCGATAAACTTCGATACCTCTGTAAATTTTAATCACTCGATAAATATTGATTATTCAATAAATACCATATAGAATAAAACCTTAATAAATTTCTATAATCCGATAAATTTTTTTAACTCGATAACTATCGATATATTTCGACAACTAAGTGTCTGCGTCTACATAAATTTCGATAACTCAATAAATATTGATAAATTTCAATAACTCAGTCCATTCCGATAGCGTAATAAACATGTTTGATCCGATATTTTTCGATAACTATAAGCTTCAACGAGAACTAAATTTTTGACGACTGAATACGTTTCGATTCTTATCGGATAATTTCAATCAATTTTCTCACCGTTTCAGTTACCCTATTCTCATTGTTTTCATCTTCGTCTTTATCTTCAATTTTCCTTCGTAATTCCTTTCTTCATCTTGAGATGTATCTTTATTACAAAGTTGCTTTTCAAATACAAAGTAAAACAAAATGCGAACTCAACTCAAATTGAGCAGGTTGCAACAACAACTATACACAAATACGGAAATTTTTAAACGTCGATTTTGACCGTAATTTTCTCATCTACGTATCCAATGGTGTTCTTGGTTTTGAAATCGGTTCGGTAAAATCGCCAAACGAACGGTAAAGGCGGTAGATTTTTGAAGAGGCGGACGCTAACTATTTAATTTAACTAAGCGGTTAAATAAATGTTTTAATATTGATGCCACAAGTGAGAAGTTTAAAAGGCTTTAATTTTAAAATACTATTGGCCAGGGTTGCTACCAAATTTATAAATTTAATTGAGGAAAAGTAAGATTTAGTTCAAAAATACTTTTGAATAGCGAGATTCAAGTATCATTTATTCACAAACAATTTTTTAAGAGGGTTGCCATGAGTTCAAAAGCACCAGATCCATCTTAAGATATGATTGTCAAACGAAGAAAGCGTTTTCTCAAAACTATTTTTAAAGAGGGTTGCCAACTGTTTGACAAGTAAAATTTAACATGGGTAATTAGTTAATTGAAATATTGCAACGAAGTGTTTTACATATTTACACCAAATTATTTTGAAATCATCTTATAAGAGCGCATCCAAAAATTATATAAATCAACTTTTTCCGCATAAATAAATACCGTAAAAATTAAAATATAATCATTTGGAGTCAGAGCTTGTGATATCGAAGGTTAAAAACTAAAAGTTTTCTTTTTCATTTTAAATATGGCTGATGTTTAAACCTAGCCAAATAAATATTTTGGCGAAGTTGTATTTTGGGGGATCCCTTTTTATGCTTAAGAACAAGATATCAACCATATTTAAGTTGAAAAGCAAATTTTAGTCATCAGTTCCACGATCGCTGTTTAAAAAATTCAATTGAAAACTTGGTAAATGTTTTATGAATAAAAATGCTTGGAAAAAATTAAATCTGCTAGGATAGATTTGAGCATTTTGCTTAATACATCGCTGTTACGAGTAAAGAATAATATAGGATTTTGTTTAAGTGTTTAAGAGCTGTAAAATAATAGTAAAATATATTGTAAAATCCGACAATAAAACAAAGTGAGATAAATAAATATGAAAGAATTCACCTAGAGCCCGCACAGACCCATTGCCATGCCCAGAAGAGGATTTTCGCACAGCCCTACCTAAATATCCTGGAACCATGCTGAGTTTCCTAATATACTCTCTAATGGAGTTTTCGCTGAGCTGTCGAGTTTAGTTGAAATGGTCCTTTATAAGTATGGAGCATTCGTATACAGCTTCCACTTTTAAATTGTCCCGTTAGTATTTCTGTGATATGTCAAACATTCGGTTTTGATAGCCTTAGTAAACTCTTTGTTAGTCTATAAGCCTCACTCAAGAACAGTTTCTCAGAGTATGGCAGATTCTGTACTAAGGGCAGTATCTCTTTTGAAGGGATATTTAGGTCGCAGTCTCTTCTGTCGGCAAAACGGGTTTGAAAGTCAACTTCCGAAATCCGATAGTAGCGATTTTTGTACTCCACTCTGTCCAATCAGAGACACTTCAAAAAAAGGTTTTTTATCTCCGTCGTCAGAGGCGTTTTTAATCAACAAGATCTTATTCAACAAGTAATTTTTAGCAAAAAAAAACCGACTTAAAAAATATATATATATATCTATATATTTCATGATCCAATGATCGGATCTAAACCAAATTAGTATGGGACCACCTCTGAGACACTACCTTATTGAAACGGTTGACGTGGTGCAAAGTTATGCGGTAACATACATACAAAAAAAAAATAAAATAAATAAAAATATATATTCCGACGAACTGATAACCTCCTCCTTTTCTGGAAGTCGGTTTGTTAACCGTCGTTCTCAGTTAATAAAAACGCTTGCGAATTTAACCTTAATCGGGCTGGATTGGCGCAAAGGCTAGTTTATTTCTAAGTGGAAATTAACAATTTACAAATTTTAATGCGAAACAAAATGATGTTACTACTTACCGCAGTGTGTCCTTCTTCTTTGCTTGACGACGGCTAACAGCTTCAATTATGCGCGCTCAGAATTACATAAACCTATCGTTTTCGATGCGCAAACGGTTAATTGCAAAAGCTCATGCGAATGTGCATAT